AGAATTTTATCGACTCTCTCCATGGGATATTGTATCCCTCAAACTCAGGTAAATCCTGACAAGGAAGGTCGAAACCAGCCTTCTAAATGATCTATATTGTGTCGATGAAGGTGTAAAATAACTAATATGTCTAATAGGAACAAGAACATCACAGTGGACATCCAGGTCAACAACCAGAGGCTTGAGACTGTACGCAGCTTCAAATACCTGGGTGCAATAGTGACAGACGAAGGATCAAAACCTGAAATAATCTCCAGAATAGTGCAAACTTCAGCAGCAATGATGGCCAAGTTTAAAACTATCTGGAACGACAGAAGTATCACCATCAGATCAAAGATTAGACTGGTGCGTTCCCTGGTCATGACAGTATTTTTGTATGCATGTGAATCCTGGACCTTGAATGCAGACCTTGAAAGAAGGATCAAAGCTGTGGAGATGAGATGCTTCCGAAAAATTCGTGGTATCTTATACAAAGATCACATAGAAAATGATGAAGTCAAACAGCGGGTCAAAAATGAAATTGGGCCATTATGCTGACCTTCTCACTCTGGCCAGGAAACGCAAACTGCAATGGTATGGACACATCTTCCGTTCATCCGGCTTTGCCAAGATGATCCTGCAAGGCAGCGTCCAGTGAAAAAGGAGCAGAGACAGACCGAAGAATAGTTGGGAGGACAACATCAAGGAATGGACATGCCTGGAACCCAAAGACACGCTCAGAAAAGCTGAAGACCGGGAGGAGTGGAGGAAGCTGGTGGTCAAATCTTCAAAAGTGCCCCGACGGACATCTAGTCTACACGGGATAAGTGAAGGTGAAGGGGACTCTCTTGTAACACCTCATCTTTGGCACATGTACGACCTAATTATATTGCAAATGCCGCAAAACTCTTACAGAAACAAAACAAACAACCCTACAAGGGTTTCAGCATAGGCTTTCTGGCGTAGGTTTCAGCTAAAAGGAATCAAGGGGGGCACACTGACCTCGTTATAAACAGTCTCACGCTCTATGACTGAGAGTTCTGTTTTATTGTTTGTGTGTGCGCAGGCCCCCCCCCCCCTCACTCTCTCTCTCTCTCTCTCTCTCTCTCTCTCTCTCTCTCTCTCTCTCTCTCTCTCTCTCGCTCACTTTCTTCCCCCCTTCTCTCTCTCACACCTCTCTCTCTCTTCTCTCTCTCTCTCTTTCTCTCTTTCTCTCACACTCCCTCTCTTCTCCTCTGAGTTATCTCTCTCACCTTCCACTCGCTCTCTATCTATCTATCTA